ATCTCGATATAATCATTTTTGACGAAGTTGCTCTATCTTGAAGTTTGCCTATTTTTAGAGGCTAGAACAGGTGATTTTTTGGACCAGTGTATATATATATATATATATATGTATATATATATTATGTAGTTGTATTGCTTTTTTGTCTATTTAAATATAAGATGTATGTATTAATTCGGCAATTACTGTATCATATTTTAAATGGCAAATGACCAAGTTCGATGGAAAATGAATGCGTTAATAAAAAGATATAGAGAAGTGGTAGACAATAATTCAAAGTCAGGAAGGGCTCGCACGGATTTCGAGTGGTATGAACAGATAGATGAAATTTTAGGATCGCGACAACATGCCAGCATTGGGCATACTGTTTCATCTAAATTTACATCAATATCCGCCAACCGTTTTTCGACTTCTTCTGAAAAAGAACATTTGAGTGAATCCTCTTCAATTCCGACCAGTCCATCGAAATTAATTTCATCTAAGAATGATACCGCAAACTTACATGTTACTAGCGTAACAAATCGTAAGCGTCCCTCTCATGGAACAGGTTCCAAAACTGCGGCAACAAAGATCGAACTCGAAAAACAATGGCTGCATCATTTACAAAAAAAAGAAGAGCGTGATCGTATCAAAAATCAAAGAAATGTAGGTCTGTTGGAGACAAAGAAAGAAGCTCTAAAGTTAAAGAAAAGACAGCTTGATTTAAAAGAGACTGAACTAGAACTACGAAAAGAAATAGCAATGAAGAAGGTAAGAGAGAAAAAAATCCGTCATACGGAACTAATGGAAATCGATCAATTAAAATACAAATTGCTCCAGAAACTTATACAAGACACAAATCAGAATATTCGTGATGACACTAGATTCCGACTGATTGTCTTTAAATAGACAAAAAAGCAATGCAACTACATTATATCCATATGTCTATTAAATTTTTTCAGTGCTTTTCTTTTCGTAAACATAAAGTTATAATACCAAAGGAATAAATTATAAGCAAAAGTTTTAGGAAGAATTCACATTAGAACGGAAAAGCAAAAATTAATCAGAAATTGCATTTAGCTAGCAAGTATAGCACTTGGTAGCTAAATACAAACTTTTGATTGGTTTCTGCCCTTTCGCATTTTGCTTCTCCGCTTCAATATGAATCCTTCCTTAGATTATTTTTTTTCAAGTGTTACTATATATTCCTAAGTATTATTTTCTTTCTATAAGCAAAGTTATAATGCCAAAAAGAATAAATCATAAGCGAATGATTTAGATAAATTATATTTTTTTCGAATGTTACTATATTTTTAAGTTTCATAAAACAGGCTTAAAGTAACTGAAATGACCAATGGGATCACAGTGAAGCAAAAACTTGGCGTGCCCGGATTGCATTAATATTTAATTGATAAGATATATATAAAAAGCGGGCACCAACTTTTTGCTTCACTGTGATCCCATTGGTCATTTTAGTCACTTTAAGCCTGTTCTATGAAACTTAAAAATATTTGGAAAGACTGGCATTAAACTTTTGCTGCGTGTACTTTTGAATGGTTAAACGGTTTTTAAAAAGAAATTTTTGTTTCTATGTCTAATCAAATACTTGGCAACTTGTATGATTTCATATTTGTTTTTGGACAATTTTTATTTGTTAAAATAATATTTTTAGTTTAGGAAGGATGTAACATACGATACTTTTTTATATACTTGGCGTAATCTTTTTCTTTTTTTTAAAAAGAGTTTTGGTAGGATCTCATTACTTTTTGGTAATTTGTTTTTGGACAATTTTTATTTGTTAAAATAATATTATTAGTTTAGGAAGGATGTAACGTACGATACTCTTTTATATACTTGGCGTAATCTTTTTCTTTTAATTATATTATTTTAAAGACCAAATTGCAAAATCCGACTTTGTAAAAGATTTGGCAGCTTCGTAAAACATGGATCAGTGAAAGGCATTGCAAAATATATATTGCTTCTACGAGACGAAATACGGGATCTTAGCTGCACCGTAATTAGAGAGCAGATAATTTTTCTTATTATAATATTTTCAAGAGTAAAATTACTAAATCTGGCTCTTTAATAGCTTTCATATTTTTGTAAGAAATAAGCTAAAAGAAGGCTTATGACAAAATATTACACTTCTAAAAAATAAAATGTGGTAAAATACAGATATTATCTGCACCATGAATGAAGTGCAAATGAAGTGTAAATGAGT